AAAACGCTACGAATTAATTCCAACACCTAATATATATATATATATATACATAATATAACAATAATAATAACTTCATATGTATGAAATTTGATTTCGATAAATCAATATATTATAATCATATATTATTATAATAACACATAGAATCACATTCCAATTAAGAAAAATTTACCGCAAATCTCCCAATTTGCTCGCACATTTTTACCGAGCCATCAACAAGAAGAAGTATATATCGCGAGAAGGGAAGAAATAATATACGTATACGATGCATCCAAGAGACAGTTGCAAGAATATAATGGGTCTGTGTTTTTATTTCTGTATTAAATTGCATTAGAACTCTCTCTCGCTTTCGCCAAATATCAAACATATATACCTATCTAACTTTAAGTTCCAAAAGTGTATACTAGTTCAACCACAGAAAACAGACCTAATATCGCGAATAATGCTCAGTAAGTCTCGGGACTTCTCGAGACCGATCGTGGCTCGTTTTGAACGCAAGGCTGTTCAGTACGCCGTTCACATTCGCGAAGATTATGAAGAAATTTCTCACCGTTCGGTACGCATTCACTCGGTACGGACGTGCGGAAAATTCTCGCAATTCATCTCGCTCGCTTATTATACATACATTCATATATGTATATATATCATCAATATATGATGTGTATATACAATACATATATTTCAATATATATACTTATATATATGTGACGTGATTGTCAATGAACTCGCGCGTTCGTCGTCTGCGTTGCATTAACGACGCGACATAGATCGTGTTTGTATCGCGCATTCAGTTCTCCACACTCGGTGAAGCTTAAGCCTTTCTCGTCAGAAAGTGCTGTGTATAATCTCTCCGTTGCCCCGTTATGTACCTTTGTTTTCCTTTCCGCTTTATTTCTTTTTTTTCCACCCTACGTTCACATTTCTCTCGGCTGATTCGCCGCGAGATGTCGGTATAAAAATTACGGTACATGGTGAGGATGGGCAGAAGGAGTAAACAAGGACTCACAAATTGTTATATTCACCTGTTCCGTTCTCCCCGCTCGGCCGGATGCGCGCATCGTATCGGCCTGGTCCTAGGATGTTGTCGAGCACTTGCTTCTCTTTCTCCCGAAAGTTCACTTTTGGCTGCGTACATCTGGAAGAATGTACCAACGATGTCGTCGGTATTATAAAGAAAAGAAATCTATTAGGTGTTGGAATTAATTCGTAGCGTTTTTTAATGAAAGAATGTTATTTATTTCATATGAGCATTAAAAAATACATTAATGAAAGTACTTCCCATCACTTCTCATCTCTTGTAAAACGCTACGAATTAATTCCAACACCTAATAATTTCTGAAGAGAAAATTTCTTAATTATTATGGCTTAACGCCAGAAGTAAATTATAAAAATATATAATAAAACAATTATAGCAGTTAAATATATAAAAATATATAATAATAACAATTATAACAGTTCTATTAAAGTATTTAAAAATTTAGCTAGATATGGATCTGAAAATAATTTGATTGGACTCTCAAAATAATTATGTAGGACATTTAAATTGATTGGTAGAATGTTAAAACTTGTTACAGTGTTATTCATGCTTGAGTTTCCTATACAATTATTTTGATGAATCCAGGAAACTACTTTTTGTTGTATCTACTTAAACTTTTAAATACTTGAGCGTAAAGTTCGTGTCAAATTTATTTATAATTTTATCGTATTTCTAATCGTAATGTATTTTAATGTATGTATCTTGTTATCATTATGTACACGTAATATACATATATATATATATATATATATACTTTATGTATATATTCAGAATCTTTAAATATCTTTTGTTATTACACGACACATAAAGATATAAATAGAATTCTATCCTGAATTTTGGTGCAAATTATATAATAAAACACATTTAAAATGATTTTTAAAAAATGCACACCGTCGTAAAAAAAAATACACACTTCGCAAATCGTTCTTCCAAAAATTTTTATATTATTCAAATTCTGTTTCATTCAATTCTGCTCGCGCGACAAAATTTCGAAAGTGATGCACGTCGGTCCGCTCATAAATTTTCGTTTTCCTTATAAACTTTATGCATCATAACAATAATCCCGTGTGAGTCAATAACATATATCTTTACGAGCCACAGCGTTCTTTCTTAGAATTATGTTTCTATCGCTAAAGAAACATAATCGTCTCGCGAAATCTTAACTTGACGTCGTTCCAAAAGCGTATAACTGTTTTATTATTAATTCAGGCGATATAATAAGTTAACTGCGTATGAACAAAATTTGCATGAGGCACTGCCAGCAACAATTTGACACATCCATCAATGAAACAACTTACCTCGATGGATGCAGCAGCACCGCTAGTAACACCAGTAATAGTAGTACTCCAGGCCACATTGCGCCGGCCTGCAAGCAAACAAAATGCACACACCTTCATAAAAATTCTGACGGCGAGCTGCAGAACGCGAATCCCTACGCGGATTCGCATTAGCGATGATTAAACTTATCTATCTCACACCGCACCGATGCAATCTACGTAATTTCTCCCCTGCGATCCGTAATATTTCATCTTTATTTAGATTCATATTTATTTACTTTATCGACATTGTGCCAAGCAAAAGCAGACGACGCGTTTGCTTTTTCCTCGCAGATCACAAAAATTTACCCGCGTTTAGAATTACATCGCTAATTATCGCTAATTTCCATTGATTTTAATTGCCATCGACGCCAACTCGACTGATGTTGTTTCAAACTAAACCGACATAATTGCAATATCGCACGCGCGATATTTAATAGCAGAGGAGCCGAAGTACAAAGCCGGGGATGCCTCCATTTACCATGTCTCACCAACTCCGATGATTGATTGAATTAAGACGATGTATGTATGTGTGCGTGTGTGTATGTGTGTGAAGATCAAAGCGTAGAGAGGCACTGGTGTACGCTTTTATGCGTACCGCACAAGAGTATCAACTGTCTCACGAGATTAAGTTGATTATACGTGGAGAAGGAAATACACGCATCCCCCGTTTCTCTTTCTATATACGAGTATAGGTATCGTGATATCGCGACTTGAGTTTCAACGTAAAGAAGAATTGGAGCGATACCAAACGCTGTTCGTGAGTTACTGAGAGGATGTCGGATGTGAATTCTCTTCGAGGTTCATCCGCGAATGACAAGTTCTATATATTCGCCTGTCCATCCCGCTTATCTCACTCGAGAAGGTAACTCAATGATAATTGTGAATTGGATGACCGCCTCGACCGTGAATTGAGGTAGAAGCCAGTAGAGGTGGTCGCGTTGTATTAAGAATTGAATAGGTGCCAAGATGCACACGTGGCCTATTTTTATCGGGGAAATGTGGAATTTTGACGTGAATTGAGCGATCATGTAGGAAATCTCGTGCGCACACGTGTCTATTTTATAACTTAAGTTGCAATTCTACGCAAAATGTTATATCACGAAATATATTTAGCGGTTGAAAAGTCTACAAATAACTGCGTAACGAGAATTCCTTGAGAGAGAATTACGAGTGTTCGAAGCTAGCGGAACATGGTAGATGCCCCGAGCGACGTCCGTCGGCAATATTGCCGGGTAACCCGAAAGTTTCGAGTACTGTGACCCAAACCCGACCCGCGTTACAGCCGACCCGACCCCGAGCTAGAAGCCGAGATATCCGCAGATTCCAAGTACTTGAGAGACCTTAATCGTCTGTTTGAATGCTTCGCGGTCAATTTCTCTCTTCTGCTCTTTCTCCTATGCATTATTGTTGTCGAGATATGCGCATAATTTTAAATTTTAATTAAAAAATTATCTATACGTTCGCAAAGAGGATACTAGAGTATCCCATGCAAGTATTCTTATCTAAGCAAAGATTTACCTCAATTTAAATACTTATTTTTAATGGCGTGACTATCTCTCGAAACTGAGAGAATTAAACCTGCAAATGAATCTTGCGCAAATATTTGCGCAAGATTCATTTGCAGGTCGCGTACGTTCGACATTTTAATCTTTCCTATATAATATTTTCTAATTTCTTTCCGTCGTAGAATATTACGCTGTTTGCTGTATGAATCATTGGTAATTGACGGAAGCGATGAAGTACGCCAACGCGAAAATCATTTTGACGGACTTTATTCCGGATGGTAACAGACGAGAGGAAAATGATGATCACGTGAAGGCGTGATTGCAGTTAACGAGATTCGTACGCGAACGGCAAACAAGTGAGCGGACAAGTACATAATAAGAGGTCCTTTTCAGTATCAGCAATGTCAGTGTCGTTCGCGGCATAGGGGAAGATACGAGAGTCACCCTTATCGACACGCAATATCTTTGTTCGTTATTAAATTACACTCGATCTGCTAACACGTATCATTAATGAATTAGTATTTTATCAACGGACGTAACAATGAACGGTTTCTGCTAATTTTATTGATAAATACGTACTCTCTAAATCTGAATCAGTGAATAGTCACTATATAATCTGAATCAGTGACTGAAATTCAACTAAAAAAGGAAGAATGTTTGAGCATTACAATTAAAATATCGATACTTGCACGTTAATTTCAATCTTCTAATACTATATATTCAATGAATTTATAATTAAAACAAGATTAGATCATATAATAAGGATTAGATAGGTTAGGGATCTCACATTTTATTCACTGGTCATCTGCATACTTGGCACTGATATCAGTGCTTATCCACTAATTCAGATTCAGAGAGTAAACATTTTAAGTATTACGAAATTGAATCAACTTATCGCTCAGAACAATGTAAGGTCAAAATCAGACTACGCATTGAAGATTGAGATTGAAGATTAAAGATTGAAATTCGACCAATGAGGACGAAAGAATTTTAGAGAGAATCCTTTTATTATTTTGATTGGTTAAATTTCAATCTTTCAATCTCAATCATCAATGCGTAGCCTGATTCCGGCCTAATGCAAGGTCTACAATAAAAGTCGTAGCGGTCGTAGAGTTTTAAGTCGTAAAAAATTAACCAATCACAGTCGAACATGAGAAGAATAATCGACTATGATTGGTCAATTTTCTACGACCCTACGACCGCTACGACTTCTATTGTAGACCCCACATAAGAGGATCAGCACACACTTCCCGTAACAGTAACCGTAAGACGTAAAAATTAGCCAATCAGAGCTGAAAGTTTTTGAAAATTCTTGACTGTAATTGGCTAATTCTTATGATTACTGTTATGGAAATTGTGTACGGCAGCTCTAAGAACGGAATCAGACTACGTATTGAAAATTGAGATTTGACCAATAAAGACAAAGGAATTTTAACTCTTATTGTTTTTATTGGTCAAATTTCAACCTTTCAATCTTCAATGCGTAATCTGACTCCGACCTAAGTGCCGAAACACAAGAGGAGTAGTAAGCTTCAAGTCATAAGACATTAGCCAATCACAATCGAATATGAGAATAATCGACTATGATTGATTAATTTCTTATAACTTAAAACTTACCACACCTATATTGTATTTCGGAATTAACGCGATGACTATTAGAGATTCTATAACAAAGTCTGATCACGAGATGACAAATTTTGGGCCATCATTTTTGTTAAGTTTAATAAATTGAATAAGATATTATAAGTTAGAATAAGATAAAATGAGAAAGATAGTATAAGTTAAAATAAGATAATATATATAAAAGAGATGGTATATATATTCTTCTAGCTTACTCTTGTTTTGACAAAATTGCTGGCCATTCTTATAGGGTCTCTAGTGTCCACGACGGAGTAGTAAGTCTTAAGAAAGTGACCGAGCGATTATTCTCCTAGCATTCGACTGTGATTGGTCAATTTCTCATGAGTTAAGGGAATGAGTTATTTACTATCCTATTGTAGACGGCGTTAAGAAAGAAAATTCCAAGATAGAATCGTATTCTCGAGGTGGACTCGCGAAAGAACGAGTGAGCTACGATTCGAGAAACTTGCTGCAATCTGTGTACTAAAATAAATGTTTCCCAATTGTTCCCAATTGTTGAGTGTCAGTAAGAGTTGCCGCGAGTGTATTAAGAATATCGATCTCTTTTGGAGATCTAATAGACCCTATCTTCATACCGAAGCTACATGAATAGACCACGCGGACACTATAACTCATAATTTAGGTACGGCGCTGACAAATGGTGACAAAGAAGAAGAGCGCGTGTGGGTAGGTTACCGAAGAGGGGAAGGCAAGCGATTTACGACACATACTCTCTCCTCCACGAACTAGTTTGCCATTTGTATTTCCATCTCTTTCATCATTATTGCAGAGTAATGCCCTGAACGAATACGAGGATTTCGTCCGCGACAGATTAGCTTATCGTGCAAAATCACGAATCAACGCGATCAGTCATCGATTGGTAAAAGCCAATTTAATGGAGGGTAAATAAAGCGCTCGAAAATGCATCTGCGCCGTAGTTTAATGGCATCATATATTTGACACGTCCCTGCAATTTATCAATCTTGATGCAACCTTAATGGCAAAATGTACATACGTCATGCTTATCGTTACGCAAAATCCGACGGAAAACAGAATTAGCATAGAGCGCGTGATAAAAATCTAAATATTTGTAGCCTGTCCCGCAACATTATTACACAAATCAATTATCTCTACGTCTTTATTTTTTTGTTCTTCTCTCTTTCTCTTTATTTTATCGATTTACTTGTACAGATACAGTACAAATATGTAGTAAATACATATCTAAGGGAATGATCATCACACCGAAATATTCGTTATATTTAAACGAATATTTGAAAACCTTTTACATGAAATATATGTACATTTAGCCGCTAAATTACGCGTTAAATTAGGCGTAACGACACGGCGACGGATCGAGATGTTGTTGCATGACGAAGAGATGCAGTTTTCTAGTCGCACGATCTTTGACAATGTCCAGCGATTGACTCATCAATTTGTTCGTCCGCGTATTCCGTTACATTCGTATCTGCGAATTCGTCTTTCCGTTCTGCCAATTGCCCATATTTATCTGTCCGTCCCGTCCGTTTCGGCGTTGCCGTCGATCCGCCCATCGGGTCCATCGGTCCATCTATCAACCTCTGCTCGTCCATTCCGTGTCACCCGCCGAGAACTGAATATGTGCGTGTGCATACTTATTCAATCTATCCGCCAATCTATCCAACTTGTTCCCGAGTCTTCTCTCTCTCTCTCTCTCCTCCCCTTCTCTCTCGCTCTCTTATTTTATCTATCTGTTTATCTATCTACCCTTTCGCAATCGTTCGCTCTCTTCGCGCTCCCACTTGGATCTTACACGCCGCCTCGATCGACCTACAGAACGAGCTATCGCGCGCCCGTTCAACTCGTTCTCCATTCCCGAGAGTCCCACGAGAGTCCCGGGAATTCCCCGAGACGTGTGATTCTCTCGTGCGAACGTCGCGCCGCGAGATCCGGAAGGAGGTTCGCGCGCGCTCGCGGCCAACGGCACGCAGCCGTCGAAGTCGGGATAGGATGGAAGCTGTCGCTGGACCCTTACCTGGAGAGGCTGACAATCCTAGATGCTGGACACCCCGCAGCTACGCTCGATTACTGGCATAGCGTGGCTCTTCTTCGGCACGACACTCTGACAGGCCGCCGAACTCTCTCCCTCTCTCTCTTTCTCTATCTATCTATCTAACTACCTCTCCTCTCTCTCTCTCTCTCTCTCTCTCTCTATCGCTCTCTCGCTCGACTCGTAAAGTGTCCTACCTCGTGAGGTTCGTCTCCTGGACTGCCACCGTGGAGAAAGCTACATGCACCCATACCTACTACCTGGTTGCTAGCGCTATTGATCCCGGACCCCCAGACTCCCAACCGACCCACGCAGACGCCTCGCGTTGCTGCGTCGCTTTAGCAACGTGACGTCATTCACCGCCCCGCGACGCCCAGCCCGCCGCCAGGATTTTCTATACATCTTTCACCTCTCTCTCGCAAGCCTTTCCAGCGCTGCTGCCACCACCGCAGCTGCGGCCGCTACCACCACCGCTACCGACGACGACGACGTCGGCGCCACCGGTTCCTCTGGGTCCCAACATCCCCGTGTACCACAACATCACGTCACCGATCTCGCCACGAACGCCCGATTTCAACGAATTACATACATATATATAGTGCCATTGATAAATGAAATATATACCCCCCCCTCTCTCTCTCTCTCTCTATATATATATATATATATATCTAGCGACCGAAAATGCTTTCTGGAAAATTTCGGCCGCTCAATGTGTATAATTAAGAACAGAAGGAACATTATAGATAACATATAAGTTTTAATAAATTATGCTAATAATATATCCCTCCAATTTGTATAATAGCAAAAATAATTTCAAAACACGATAATTTACGAGATATTGATTTCTATGATTTTCTATGAGCGTTATATACAA